CTCAAATCTAATCCATAGACTATAGTGACTTTTTATTATTTCTAGAATCAGACTTCTAAAACTGTCCCTTTGCTATGTTTTTAGTCTTTTTTGAAACATCATCCTCCTCCAAACATTCTGTAATCTAGTCATACTTGCCTATTGTTCCACTGTACACGTGATGATCTATCCTGTGTCACCCTTACATTCGCTCTTTTGTATGCCTAGAATGCAGTCCTTTTTCGCCCTTTCCTTTTTGGAATATCTGGCTCCCTGCAAAACTCGGATCAAGTCTTACTTTCTACAACAAGACTTTCCTGATCCCTCCATCCCCCAGCAGCTAGTATATTGTCTTGCCACACTACTATGAAAGAAACAAGCATTCTGTTTTTGTTTTTTGGGGTTTTTTTAGGTGCCTGCTACATGCCAATGACTGTGATAAGCACTTTACAAATATTACCTCAAGGTTATGTGAGCAACAAGATGGCAGACTAGAAATTTTCTCTAATCCACATGACTTCTCAAAACTCTCCAAAACAGAAATTATGCACCAAAGGTAAAGTAACTTCGGTTGTTTCCATAATCTAGGACACCTAGAAACCAAAAAAAGATTTAAACCTGAGCTTACTTAGCACCCTTTTGCCACCTCCCATACAACCAGCTGCTAGGCTGCACTAGCAGACCCAAGGACATGACACAGGGTTACATGAACACCCATGTTTGCATTGCACCCCATTTTGCCCTCCCTTTTTCCAATGTGATAGAGATGCTGGCTCCAGGCTGTGGAATTTGCTCAGTCCTCAACAACAGCTTGGCCACAGCCCTTCAGGAGCAAAAGACTGCTGGGACTGAAGCCCTGGAAGCACCAACACTGCAAAACTCTGAATTGCCCATAGCTCTGAACTGCCAGAGCCAGGGAAAGCAGGCTCTGAACTTACACTGAATGAGCCCTGGGGGATTTGAAGCTTTTAAAGTCCATTTATCTAAGAAGTGAGGGAGTGGAAACCCCTGGGGCAACTGGCACCTGGAGAAGTGGGATAGGTAGTCACAGAGAGGAGATTTCCAAGCAAATGTAGAAAAAAAGAGTCAAGATCAGTGATGGGCTGCATAATTAGGGACACGGTGGGGGAAGGTGCCTATCATAGGGCAATGTCCTCAATACCTGCAATAATTGGCATTGTACTAGAAATGAGGCACAACAGAAAAGGAGTATTCATGGGATATGCTCTATAAGGTAGAGGCTGAAAATGCCTAGAGGGGAGATCCTAGAATGCATATCTTGATAGCTCTGTGTGTATGTATTATATGAAAAATACAAAGAAAAGAGAGAGACCAGATTATTACAGGGGTCATGAATCAGAGCATGAGGGTATAGAATAAACAGAAAGAGAAGACAGATATGAAAAGTGTGAAATACTTTTTAGAAAGGCATGCAAAAAATGAAATGTGTGCATATAATATACTAATAACCATTCCCCAATAGATAAATGATCAGAGGATATGAAGTTCTCAGAAGAAATACAAAGTATTCATTCACAAACACACGGAAAAAACTATCCAAATCACTAAGAACAAGAGAAACGGTAGTCAAACCAATCCTAATCACCTCATACCTCACAAATTGGCAAAAGTGCTGAAAAATGTTGTCAATGATTGAGGGATTTTGAAATGATAGGCACACTTATACATTGTCAGTGGAGCTATGAAATGGTACAACCATTTTGGAAAGGAATTTAGAATTATGCAAATAAAGTGATTAAAATGTCCGTACTCTTTGAACCAGAGACTCCATTAGAAAATAATTGATGAGAAAAACATTTTCATATACTCTAAAATATTTATAACAGCACCTTTTGCAATAGCTAAAAGTTGGAAATAATAGCTATCCATGGATTGGAAAATGGCTAAATAAATTGTGGCCCATGAATGTAACAGAATATCATTGTGCTATAAGAAATGATGTCTATGATGAATACATAGCAGCATGCAAAGATCTATATGAACTTATGCAAAATGAAATAAGCAGAGCCATGAAAACAATGTACATAGTAACTGTAAAATAAATGGAAAGAACAGTGAGTGACACACTAGAATAATTTTTTAAAAATTATGTAGATCATGTGTAATGCAAAAAGAGAAGATACTGCCAACCTACCCCTTTGTGGAGTGTATTACACATTGCACATGTTTTGGGACTTTATCAATGTATGGATCAACTGGGTTGACCAGTTTTTCTCTGTAAATACTACTTGAGATATGGGATGGCTCTCAGGGAGGTGGAGGGAAAAGGATACGTGGGATACCATAGCAATGTAAGAAAAAGAAAATATTTAAAAAAAAACTTATTATTTAAAAAATATCCCGTTTGATCCTCAAGACAATCCTGGGAAATAGGTGCTACTATTTATCCCATTTTACAGTTGAGGAAACTAAGACAGAGATTAAGTTTTTTTGCCCAGCATCACACAGCTATTGAATGTGTAAGGCCAGATTTTAATTCAGGTCTTTTTGACAACAGGTTGAGGGCTCTATACACCTAATTGCCCTTATATATAATTTTTTTCTGTCTCTGTCTATATCTTTCTCTGTCTATCTCACTTTCTTGCTCTGTGTAACACACGCATATTTATATATTCACATATAGGTAAATATACATATATAGATAATATAGTTTTATAGTTATATATAGTCACATATGGCTATCATATCATCTAGATGTACTGAAAGGTATATTCTACATATATACAAATACATAATACACCTATATTTACACACATAATTAATATACTAATATATTTCCATTTGTATTCCCCAATACTTATCTTAGAATATGGAATATAATAAATGCTTAAGAAATGTGTGTTGATAGGTTGCTTGATATATCACTTTAAAGTATATGGAATGCTTTTGTCACAACTCTGTGAAGAAAAATATGCATGTATTATTAACTCTTTATTACAACTGAAGGGACAGATAGTTTGGAAAGCTAAGTGACATCTTCATGTCACATATATGACTTGAAAGCATTAGAACTGGAATTAGAAGATAAGTATTTTTGTATGGCTCCAAGCCTGGAACTTGAAACTTCAAGCTCTGACATTCTAGTAGTTTATGATCTATATACAGATGTTTCTTACACTGTATTCTGGTGAAAAGAGGTTTCTAGTTAAATCACTTAATGAGAAAGTAAGTTAAAGATTTACTCTTTTCATCAACAATTAATTGGGGGCAACTGGGTGGCACGGAGCACAGGTCCTGAAGTCAGGAGGACCTGAGTTCAAATCAGACCTCAGACCAAATACTAGACACTTACAAGAAACACGTTTCTTGTTTCCATTTCCATCCATAAGATGAACTCTGTTGACATTCAATAAGTCTTATCTAATGTACCCAAAAGATAATCTTTTATTCTATTTTTTCCAATTTTCTTTATTTTGAATTTTTATTGTAAGCTTTTATTGTAAGCTGTGCAATGAAATACAATTTTATTTCATTGCTGGATTTGAAGGATTCCTAGACATATTGTAAAAACAGTCTTTTGGAAGTCAAAAACCTCTGCATGATTTTCAAGGTGTCCTGATCTTTGCATTTTTCTGTGATATAAACACAATGTACTTCTACTAGAAATATGACTATTTGGCTTGCCTACTTCCTTCCTTAGCTCCCCCTTTAGACTCTCAGGAAGGAGGGCTTAGGTTCCTATCATACTCTATTATCCAAAGTCATTTTATGACTAATTTCCAGAGTACTGAGTCATATTGAGTCTGTTGCTTATCACTTCTCTGTTTTTCTTTTTCCCACACTGTGCTGGATCTCTGACCTTTTTTTTTTTTGGTGTGTATGTGTGTGTGTGTGTGTGTGTGTGTGTGTGTGTGTTTCTTTCTCCTAAAATTTTAAATAGAATGAGCTCTCCTCAAAAACAGAAAATTGATTCAGTGGGTTGTGAGATTTGGCTTTTTTTTTCTTGGATGTTACAATATACCATACTACATGAATCTATACTGGGCTATGCTTAACCCGAAAGACTCAGAGTGCTTTCATATTGTGTCACATCAAACCAAAGGACTGATGCAAATCACATCTGTTGTCCTAAAAAAAAAATCCAGATCTGTGATTTCCTCACTGCAAGGGACTCTCAGGGTGAATAAACCCTGAGAAGATGCAGATCTGCAATTCCTCTATACTTACAGCCTTAAGGAGTGGTCTGGGGCACTGACTAAGTGATTTGTCCACTGTCACACCACTAATATGTGTTAAAGGAAGGACTGGAACCGAAGTCTTACTAACTGAATGATTACCCATTTTAACTGTGCCACTTTGCTCTCTTTTGGTTTGTTTAAAGACTACAAAGTTAAGGACTAGATTATCCTTATCATTGGTTCATTATCATAATGAAGATGTCTTGGTCTCTGAAAAAGTTAACAGGTATCCCTAGAGATTTTATTTCATACTTTCACAAAACCTTTAATTTTGGACATTATGCTTACTTTTGAAATGACACTAAATTCATTCCAACAAGTTGAAAAGGATTTCCAAAAGCACTTTCATCCACATAAAAGACTCCATAAATTAACAAAGAATATAATTTTTTCCTTCCAAAGTACTGGCTGTCATTATTTAAGGGAAATACTATTCTTCATGAAAACAATTATTCAACATGGAAAAAATTAATAGATCATGATTCCTGGACTTTTTTCATCCTTAAATGTTATTTTTGAACATTTTGACAGCAACCATTTCCCCATGATTATATGAACATAAGTGATCCAGAGTAAAAGCACATTCTCAACTTCTTTAAGACTGGAAGCCCAAATTTTCAGGTGCTAAGAGCTAGATTTTACATTTCAATGTCTGCTTATTTTGAGCAAAGGAAGGATCAGTTTTCATCTGTGGGAATACATGTCGTCTTCCTCTCCATATCTCTGTCTCTCAGTCTCTCTCCCCACCCCCTGCCTTGAAAAACAAAACAAAACGACCACTGAATTTCTGATAAAAAGGAAAGAATATTACCAAGTACTCACCAGCAAAGTTCCTGTAGAAAGTTCTTGGAAAGTTTCTTTTTAAAACGGAGTTGAGGTTAGTTTAACCCTCCAGGCATAAAAGTGAAGATTTATTCCCTACTTTTTTTTTCTTTCTTCTTCACCAGGTCAGGGAGCTAGAGGACTAGAAAATCATGAAAGAAATGCAATTTGATCTTGTGAGCTGGGTGAAAGGGAGAGGTAAGAACTTGAAGATTATACAGCCAGAGGTTGCTTCCGTCTATTGGAGCAAGAAGGGGTTGCTCAGTTTGTTTCAAAGTGATCACCAACAGTGGGGAATAGCAGAGCTTCCTGTTTAGCTCATTCTAACCCAGCCTGCATTTTAGGCTAATTTGTTTTGCCAAACTCTCAAAAGACTCCTTTCTAGTATGGAGGAAATGTCACAGGAAAGCAGCTTGTATTCAGATTTCATTCTGTACCGTTTTTAAATAGGGGTTTCTTAACATTCTGGTGGGGTTTTTTGTGTGTATGCAATAAGCTGATGTGGGGAGGAAGAAGGACTGTTTTCACAGTTCTAAGAACTTTTTGGCTTTCATGTAACAGTAATACCTTACACATATATCACTTCTGAGATTTGCAAAGCAGTTTATTTGTATTGTTATATTTTATCTTCATATAGCCCTTTGAGAAAGGTGTTCTTATTTTGCCCACTTTACAGAGGAAATCAAGTCTCATTAGGTTGTGACTCATCACAGTAACATAGTTAATAAATGCCAGACATACATTATAATTGGATTGCTGTCTAATAAAGTTTTTAAAGATTATTTTCCAAGTTCTACTTTATTCAGCTTTTTTAAACTAATCATGCTCTTGATAGGGTCATAGTTTTAGAGCTAGAAGGAAGGTCAGAGGGCCACCTCTCACACAGCTTTACAGATTGGGAACCCAAGGACTGGAGACCATTGTCTTTCCCAGGGGTGTGCTGGAGTCATCACTAACCAGTTTGTGAGAACTTATCACTAAATTTTCAAATTTTCAGTGTGAGCATTCATATTTCAGAAATCTGCAAATGTACACACCAGGATTGTCTAGACTTAAGAAAGTGAAAGTAATGCGGATTAAACTTAAAAGCACGGGAGTACAGTGCCCCCCTCTTCCTATCTCACGCTCCCTGCCCCAGAGCCAGTTATTAAACATCTGTTAGCACTGCCCTGTTTTGTTCTTTGTACACTGCTTGAGTTCAACAGGAGTGTTGTAAGAAGGCTTAGGAAGTTCTTAAACCAAAAAGGTATAGTGACTGTAGATTATGTATAATAATATAAGTGGCATTTATAAAGCACTTACGGTTTTCAAAGTGCTTTACATCCATTTGCCTCACAACCACCCTAGACTCTCCCAAGACAGAATATAAATTGCTTGTGAGTAAGATTATTTTATCCTTTTACTTGTAGCCTCAGTGTCTAGCACAGTGCCTGGCACCACTAGGTACTTAATAAATAACTTGTTGGCTGTTTGATTACCAAGGGTCACACAGGTAAAAAGAAACATAGCTATTATTTAAATGTGAGCAGCTGATGAGAAATCCAGTGACCTTTCTACTGCATCATACTACCTACCAGTGAAGAAAAGTCACAGTTACTTTATTTTATTTTACTTTTTTATTTGTTTTACATTTAAATACTAAAAATCAAATAGCCAATAAGAAGAGAAAAATGTAAATTATAAACTTAAATGCTAAAACTTAAATACAAATAAGAAAAGAAAAAAGCATTGCCATGCGCACAGAAGATAAAAGAGGATTTTAAATATATAGGAATAAATTTCCATTTCAAGAAAGCCTATATAATAAATTCTACATATTGTGTTCAGAGTTGTCATCTTTTCTTTGTTTTCTTGTAAAAATTTTTTTTGTTCTCTGCTGTGCACTTTTTACTTTGTTCTTCCATCTCTTCCACCCCTCCCACAAGAAGGCTATATTTAAGTGGAGACACACACACACACACACACACACACACACACACACACAGTATCTATATAAATACATATATATTTGTATGTACAAACATATACATATATACACATGCATATATATGCACATATATACACAAACATATATACATACATATACACATACCTGCATACACTTATATGCACATACATATACTTAAATATCTATAATCATACTCATATAGACATATACATTCATATGCATCTACATAAGACTGAACTATACTTGTTTGTCCTCTGTTTCTCTGAGGGTGGATGACATCTTCCTTCATAAGTCTAAGTCTTTCCATATTTTTCTAAGTCCAGCAACTCATCATTTCCTACACCACAGCAATATCCTAACCTTATACAGTCTAGTTATTTTAAGTAGACTAAAATAATATTGATTAATATGGCTGACATAGAGTGTAGTTTTGCTATTCTTCTCTTTGATTAAATCTATTTTAGCTTAAATTTTGTCTCAGTTCTTGATTACTACCCCTGCATTTTTTCCTAATAAATTCTACTCCTGATCTTTATTTTATGTTTGTATGTATCTCTTATTTCCTCTCCCTCCTGACTCCTCTACTTTACTTCTACTGGCTACCTTGACCTCCTCTTATTTAACCTATCCCACCTCCAAAGATCCATCCCTTATCCTCTCCCCCCCAACCCTTTTCTCTTACCCTCTTGCTCTGTCTGAATTTAGAAGACTTTTATAACCCTCCAAATATATTTGTTATTCCCTCTTTATCCCATTTCTGTTAATCTAGGAACCCTTCTATTCTCCCCCTTATCCAATTTCTTCACCCTCTTATTTCTTTAAAAATTTAGAAGACTTTTATTCCCTTCCAAATATATATATTGCTCTCTTTTAAACCCAGATCTGATGTGAGTAGGGTTCCCTAAAAAACCCCCCTTATCTTCTCCCCCCCATCCCCTTAGCCACTTTTTTTTATTTCTTTCTGAATTTAGAAGACTTTTATTCATATATATATATATATATATATATATATATATATATATATATATACATATATACATATATACACACACACACATATAAACACATACATATACATACATACATACATACATATATATGTTTGTGTATGTGTGTGTATATATGTATAATCAATTGTTCCCTCTTTAACCCATTCCCCATGAGAGTAGAGTTCCAGAAGAACCACTCCTCTTCACTCATCTAATTTCATCAGTATCAGTTCTTTCTCTTATACCTCATCTGTATAAGATAATTACTCTTTTTACCTTTTCTGAAATGGTTTTACTTTTTAGAATCATATCATACTCAAGTCCACTGTAACAGTAAGGTGTTATGGGCTGCTCAGCACTTATAATTTATTTCACGGATTTGGATCTGTACTACAAAGACACGTTCACACTTTTCCTGGTTTATAAGTGATTTGCTATTGGCAATAATCATAAACATACATACATATAAATGTGATTACATATGATTATGAAATCTTAGAAGCAAAGACTATTAACAGAGAAATAGAGATATAAAGAAGAAGAAATACATCACCAATCAGAGGAAGCAACAACTCCTGAACATCTGGTTGGGGGAGTCCTGTATCACAGTCGTCAGGGTCTCAGTTGAGAGAGTCCCTAAGAGCAGAGTGTTCTCTCCAAGGGAGACTCCCAAAGTCACTTTCCCAAGAAAGACCCTTTTTTATCATCCCTACACAAAGAAGGCAGGGAGCCAAGGAATAGGTGATTAATCCTAACAACCTGAGAGCTTTGGCAGGAACTCTCCGTCCTCAAGAACAATCTTTGTTATGTCAAAAAATGTCTCGGATCAGTACCCAGGAACTGGCCAAGTCCCTGGATGTTTACCCCAAGACTTATATTTTAAGGAATGGTTCCCCAAGGTGGGTCTAGGTTGAAACAAATCCCAGAACAATATGTTAGGGAAGTTCCTTGTCCCTTGTCCTTGTAGAGAAGATCTTATACATTAACCCTTCATCTACCCCAATATTTCTTTTGAATTAGCCAATTACTAATAACAGTCTAAGAAATATATTTTACATTTCCTCACTTCTTATTGAGTCCTCTGTAATTAGCCTTTCATGTATACCTTATATATTTCTCTTGGATTTTGCATGCCAAATTTTCTATTATATTGAGGGTTTTTTGTTTTTTTGCAACAAAAATCCTGAACATCTGGCAATTCATTGAATTTCCTTTTTTTTTCCCCTTCTGGATTGTGCTTTACTTTGTCAGTTATTATATTTTTTCCCACAAGCCCAATCTTTGCTCTTTAATATATACTGTTCTAAGACCTGAAGTCTTTTAGTGTCACTGCTGCTAGGTCTTGTGTGATTCTAATTGTGGCTCTGCCATATTTGAATTTTTTTTTCTTGTTGCTCATAATATTTTCCCCTTGAGCTGGGGGTATTGGAATTTAACTATGATATTTCTGTAGTTTTTCTTAGTAGGACCTCTTTCAGGTGGTATCAGTGGATTTGTTTCTCCATTTCTACTTTCCTCTCTTGTTCTAATGTTTCAAGACAATTTTATTTAATTATTTCTTGTATTATTATATCAAGATCCTTTTTTAAAAATCATAGCTTTCAGATAGTCCAATTACTCCTATGTTTTCTCTTCTTAATCTGTTCTCCAGATCACTTGTTTTTCCTATGTTTCCCATTCTCATCTATTTATTCATTCTTTGTATTGTTTTATTACTTCTTGGTCTCTTATTATGTAGCTATCTTCCCCTTGCTCAATTCTAATTTTTAAGGAGTCATTTTCTTCTTTAAGATTCTGGATTTCCTTTTCCAGTTGGTTAACTTTCTTTTCATAATCTTGTTTTTCTTGAATTGTTCTTATTTTTTTAAAACTTTTTCTCAATCTCTCTCATTTGATTTTTAATTTTTTTTCTTTAAGTTCTATTAAATTCTTTTTGGACAAGATACCATTTGAAACTACTCTTTGAGGTAGAAGAGGCTTTTTTTTTTTGCTCCAATATCCTCCTCTGAAGATGAACCCTGGTCTTCTCTATTCCCATAGTAACTTTCTATAGTTGAGTTCTTTCTACTTTGCCTACTCATTTATTTTAAAATTTGTAGCAGCTTATTATTGTAATCACCTCTAATCCTGCAGTGTGGAGGATTGTGCCTCTGGCCTCAGATCTTCCTTTAATTCTCCACTCTGGCCTGGAACCAAAATCAAGAACTCCACCCTTCTGTAAATGCTGATAGCCAGTGGGGTCCCATGTCACAGGACATGTTCAGGTTCCTTCTCACCTAGGGCTGTGTCTTGGTGGTACAACTGGGTCTGTTGTCCCTTTTCAGGAGATGTTCTCTCAATCTTCTTCTGTTTAGACATTCAACTCCCTACACTGTCCAGGTGATGAAAATTCCTGTGGCTG